CCTGGCAGCGCAGGCAGCCGCGCTGGCCGCCTGCGCCCTGCGAGCGGCTCTCCGCGCGGTCACCCATGACTGAGGGAAGAAGGCGACCCACACGCGCTCGCCACCAGGGGCGTGCCTGGTGAGCGCACGCTGGCGCTGCGCCGAGAGAGCCGCTCGCTGGTCCAGGCCAGCTTGAGCCAGGAGGAGGAGAAGGAGGGGGAGCAGGAGGAGGAGGAAGAGGAGGAGGAGGAGCAGGAAATGGACGAGGTGGGGTCGAGAGTTGAGGGGGGGAAGGGGAGAGAGATGGGCAGTGGAAGCAGTGTGGGCGGAAGCGCCGAATCTCACATATCCAGCGCATGGTCAGCCGATGTCCTGGAGCCCTGGGAGGGAGGCGACGCGGACTCTCCCGCTTCCTCCGGTGTGCCTAGGGGAGGGGCGGGTTGGGGGAGTGGGCGGGGCAGAAAGAGGAGGGCCAGCGCAAACCGAAGACGCACCAACGATGTGCAGTAAACCATCTCTGCAAGCGTCTTGTTCACAGGGGCATACAAACTGTCTTGGTTGCAGCCCCATTGGAATTCAACCTTCTGAGGGTCCTCCATCGTCCCATAAAGCCATTCTGGGACTTCAACACCGCGACCACGAAACTGTTGCGTCCTGACAACCCGCGGTCGTGCCAGAACACCATTCCTAGGACAACCCCGCGAATCATCGTGACTGTCGCGCCCCCAAAATCCTAAATCGTGCTTGAACGCCAGTGGTGGGACTTCAGCCGTACGAGTCCTTAACTGTTGCAAACTCCTAAAAGGAATGCGCGCGGCGCGAAGGCGAGAGCCACATTCTGAAAAGGAACTGCACTTCATCCGTGTAAAATGGAATAACTTTATAGACGACTGCGCGAGGCGCTAAAACGAGAGCCACATTTTGAAAAGGAGTTGCACTCCATCCGTGCAACGTTTAAGAACTTTTTAAGACGACTGCGCCAGGTCCTAAGGCGAGAGCTACAGTTTGAAAACGACCCGTCCTCCGTCCGCACAAGGAGTGCAACGTTCTGGGACACATGTGCGCGGCGCGAAGGTAAGAGACGCAGCTTGAGAAAAACGACCCGCTTTCCATCCGTGAATCTACTGCGATTTTTTGAGACATGTGTGCGGCGCGCGCGCGCCGAGAACTCTTACTCCGGATCTCATAACAATGGGGGTGGGGTCTGCTTTTGGGGGGGGTCTAACGGGCTTCGTCAAACACAATTGTGGGGGGGTCTAGATTTTGGACCCTTTGTTGCCTGTCTGGGGGGGGGTCTACTTCGGGCTGTCAAACACTTGTTTGACCCCCTCCCCTTTATTATGAGATTTGTAGTATACTATGTGCGTCGTGGCGGGCGCTTTCTGGCCACACCGCTCGAGAAACGGTATCACCATTATGTTCGGGTCGGCCGCGCGCCTCCATGGATCACACACAGTCATACAGTCGGGGCCCGGAAGAAGGAACGATTTTCGTTGGGGAGGGGCTCCGCGTTCCGTTAGCGTTTCACAGCTTGCCTCAGGTTTTCCTTATGATTTCGATCGGAAATCGAAGTTTAACCAATGGAAAGAAGGGGCCTCGTTCCTTATTTAGGGTTCCTTAGGTCAACGCCCCGACTGTACTGTGTCTTTGTGCGTCCCACGCTAGGGCGGCAGCGACATTTTGAACGCGACCGGCCCTCCATCTGTGAAGCCGATGCACACGTCAAGCATCAGGGTCGTGAGCAGTGAGGACGTCTCGAGCGAGTCGCTGGGCCCGGCCTGCCGACGCGTCCTGGGGGTGTGACAGGGAGGAGCTGCTGATGAGGAAGAGGGACGCAGGAGGGGGAAGTGGGGGGCAGGGGGGGAGGAGTTGGGGGGGGGAAGAAGGCGATGACGAGGCCTCCTCCCTCCTCTCGCATTCCTCTCCCTCCCCATTCTCGCTCCTGGACGATGAGGATGCCTCCTCCCTCCTGCCACATAACTTTCCCTCCCTGTGTAACCGCTCCCCCGCCTCCTCCCCTCCTCACCCTATCCGCTCCCTCCTCCCCCCCACTCCTCCCCCCCCCCCCCCTCCTCCCCCTCACCTCTCGTTCCCCTCCCCCCCCCCTCCCGCCCATTCGACGACGACGACGACGACGCAACAACTATGGCGACGACCGTCGACTCCGCCGCCGTCGACGTCCACGACCGCGACGACATCGACCACCGTGGCGGCAGCGATGGTGGCGGCGGCGCAGACGCCGGCGACGACGACAACGCCGATGCTGTCGCCGGCGAGGAAGCCTGCGGCGGCGACGGCGACGGCGACCGCGGCGACGAGGAGGAGAGCCCCCCGATCGGCAGGCAGAGGTGATGGCGCTCGAGGCGCGGCCGGCCGCCGCGGAGCCCCCGCTCAGGGTATTCGTTCGCCGTGGCCGTCGTCGTCTTTGCGTTCGTTTGTCCTGCCTTGCGCGGGGAAGTTCTGGACCTTTTCTGCCTTGGGCGCCTTGATAACCCCCTTTGAGCTTCGAGCTGGCATGTGCCTGAATGCCATGTGGTGGTATTGAGGGTGGTGGCAATGGCGATAACCACGCCAATCGTGATCGCCAAGGTATTGCTTGCGAGTGCAGTGGTAGTTGTGGCGTAGCGGTTGCTGACTGTATAATCACTGTCAAGGGATTGCTAAACTGTGAACCCTCAATTTGCGACCAACAGATCTCCATAAAAGGAGTCGTTGCGCTGGCTGGAGGTGCGAAGTCAATGGCAGGGGAGGTGCGGGAATCGGTGAGGTGCCTTGTCGTCCATGCTAGTATGATGGTGTTGAGCTGAATATGCAGATGCTGGGAACGATGGATACGTACTCATGTCTTTTTCTCCTTCACCATGCACCATGTGGAGGCGATCTGGGACGGCATTGTCAACGATATTCACGATGACGACGGCGGCGATGACGACCACGATGATGTTGAGGAGGTGTCTTAAGTTTGACGGTGACGGCCATAGCTGTGACGATGACGATGATGGCTTCTGAACTGTGAGATGTACGTAAAGTTTAAGGATGTGTTACGGGAACTTGCATGACGACGGATTCAAAAAAGCCAGCATCATAGACCAGGGTCCTTGCATGTTTCGGTTAGAATGTGCTGGCCTGACAACCCGCCCTCCCTGCCCTCCAGAAAGGCTGCTTACACACCCGCACCCAGCGGACGAACATTCAAGGATTCAGAGTAGTCGTCGTTCTCCTTGTCGTCGTTCGTCGTTTGTCTTCCTCGTTCTCGGCATCATCGCCAACGCCGTCTTCGTCGGTCGTGGAGGAGGAGGAGGACGCATCAGGTGGGAGAGTGGATGGGGGAGAATCATGTGGGATAACGTGATAAAGTGGACACAGAGGAGAGTAGGAGGACCAGCGCTTGGATAATGAGTAAATGGACGGAGGAGCAGTTAGACGTGCAGCAGGGAGAAGAAGATAGGAGTCGAAGCGAGGAGGGTGTTCCCTCCCCAGAGGGCCCTATTTCAGCCTCTGGGGCACTCGACCCCTTCCTGTGGCCAGTGCTCTCTCATCCTGGTTACAACGACCCTCCCTGATCCCATCCTTCTAGGATCTCCAGGAGCAATCATGAACGATCTATTGTGACCTACGCCCACCTGGACCTCCGAAAGAAACCTCTCTGGCTCCCTCCGCGCTCCTCCACCTCCTGCTGCTCCTTCGCCCTCCTCTGTCCGGCTGCGCCTTGGCCCGAGCACTGCTTGGATGGGGGGGGCGGCATACCAAGTGTACCAAAGACCCTCCTTCGCCTCAGTAGCACCTCCTGGCGGCAGGGCCGTTCCCGTGGCCCCCCAGGGATGGGCTCTCAAGATCGGCACATCCCAGAATGGCCAGCACTTCCCGTTCGCCTGCCTCTTCGCGAGCCGCGTCGGCAGGCTTCGACGAGCCTGTGTGCGTGCCGAGTCGGCCTGGACGGTGGCACCTGCTGGGGCAGCCGACGAGGGCGAACGACACCAGCGCGCAGTGCCACCCCCACGCGGGGAGGTCCACGATGCCCCCCGAGCTGGAGATTGGAGATGTCGTGAGCGCCACGGCCCGAAGAGAGGGACACGGCTGTTTAGCATGCGGCGCCTCCCGCATTGTGAGGCGGGTCCGCCTTGAGCACGTCTGGCCCAGGGCCCAGACAGCGACTCTGTCCGAAGTTGTGCGCTCTCTTCTCTTCTCTTCTCCTCTCTCTGCTCTTCTTCCTCCTCTCCCTCCCCCCTCTCCTCCGCTTCCTCCCCCCTTTTTTGTCCTCCCCCCTCCTCCTCTCACCTTCCCCTTCCCTATTCACCCCCCATCCCTTCTCCATCCTCTCCATCCGCCTCGCCCCCGCCTTCGCTCCTCACCCCGCGCCGCGGGACCCAGCCCCCCCCCCCTCCTCGAGGCGGACAAGGTGCTCATCGAGACGGGCGAGAGGAGAGCGTGTTTTTTTTGTTGTTTCTTCTTCCCCTGGCGACCCTGGGCGCTGCCAGGGGGGAGGGGCGGGGGGCTGGTCACCCCGTGTCTCGCGCCTGCGCCGTCTGGGAATGCCCTGGAAAGCAAGGGCTCCCTCGAGGGCGCGAAGTTATTCGCGCTTCGCGCTTCGCGGTCCTCGTTCCTTCTCCCCCTCCTCCTCGTCCTCCTATTCTCCCTTTGGGAGGGCGGCGCGAGAGCGCGAAGTTATTCGCGCTTCGCGCTTCGCGCAGCGCGAAGCGCGAACTTAGGAGCCCTTGCGGAGGTCAGAGCCTGTTTTTTTGTGGATTCAGGCCAGTTTACTTGCATGGCGTTTCGCCCCCCCCCCCCCCCCCCCCCTCGCCCCTCTTCAAGCGAACACTGGCGTGCAGGTGCCTCTCGACTTGCGTGATTTCCGCGCCCCCCCCCCCCCCGGCGCTTGCTTCAGGCTCAGCCCTCCCCCCCCCCGTCCATGCAAGTAAACTTGCCAGAGTCTAAAAAAAACAGGCTCCCAGGGGCCCCCCGTCGCCACCGCCGGCATTGGATTGCAATAAAAAAAACTAGTCGTGGCGCTGCCTGGGGAGGGGGGGGGGCGGGCCGGGGCCGCTGACGGCCGCCATCGCTGCCGCCAGGCTGGACCGCATGTTCATCTGGACGCCCGCGGTGCCCGGAGCGATCGACCTGATGTCCTCGGAGGCGGGCGGCAGCTCCGGCGTGATCAGCCGAGGGGGCGCCCGCTGCTGGGGGGGCCCCGGAAGGAAGCGGCGGCCACGCCGTCGGGTGATCGGCGGCTGCGGAGGGCGTGGGAACGCCACGGGGGGGGTGTCTGCGATCTGCGTGTCCCCCTACAGGGGGATTTTTGACGAAAAATAAAAACATAGCCCCATAATCAAAATCATGCAAACATAGCCTGGGGACTATTTTTCAAGTATTTGTTGACCCTTTAGGGGTATTTGTTGGGTATTTTTTATTTTTCGTCGAAAATCCCCCTGTGGGGGGACAGGCCCGACCTAACGCTGGGGTTCGGGGGGGCGCTGAGTTGCCCTCGGCCGGCTTCGTCGGGGCGCGGCGGAGAGAACTCTGTCGAGGTCCTCGCCCGCCCGCCAGGGTGCGGAGTGCAAACCGCACGCTTCACAAAGCACACGCTGCGGAGTCGCCGAGGTGGGGCAGCGGGGCTCTGGGGTGACCCCACGGGTTTGGGTCGTTTTCCGATGACGGCCTCGGACAGCCAGGGCCTCCAGGGTCACGGCACGGTGCGGAGGCGGACCGTGCGGTGAGGTTGTTGGGAATCTCGAGGTCACCGCATGGTCTGTCATGTCGTGTCTCAAGCAATGGCGAAGCGTTTTGGCGTGCTTATAGGCCTACCAAACAATGTTCCAATAACCGTTTCTGATCCGCACGAACTGTTCTGAGAACATTTCTGGCCGGGGCTGCCTTGTTTAAGCGCTTCGGGTTTATGTTCTAAGCACATTCGTGTTGCTCTTGGAGCGCGTCCGCGCTCTAAGAACATTTTCGTGGTAGCCACATAGAAATGCCGGAACGGTCGGTCCCTGCTCAGGTGTCGGCCTCTTCCTCATGTCGGGCTCCTCGTGTCGGCCTCTTCCTCGTGTCCCCCTGAGACCTTCGAGCTGCAGTGCCGTTTTTAATACATGCCCCGCGTGCGGATCATGTATGACGAATGTTGGGATTCAGTCTTAAAAACGACGACGAGTTCATGCGTAGATTTATTCATAAATTAGTCATGTATGCAAATCCCATGTTAAAAAAACAATCCATGTATAAAAAAACTACCCTGTACCCTTCTCGAGTCGGCCTCTGCATCCTCCTCGTGGTAGGGTTTCGATGCTCTTCTCGCCTCTGCCGCCTCTGGGGGGGGGCGCCGCCGTCTCCCCGATGGGAATTCTCTCGTCGATAGAGGAGGAGGAGGAGGAGGAGGAGGAGGAGGAGGAGGAGGAGCAGGAGCAGGAGCAGGAGC